CTGGTTAGGCGCACTGGAAGAGGATGGCAAGCTTGGACAGAACGGCTGCTTTTTTTGTTACACAAACAAAATGCATTTTTAGTAGAGCCTGCATACTGCACATTTATGTGCAAATACATGCATATAGAAAAAGGAGGAATGATTTATGCTTGAATTTCTGTGAGCCTTTCTCTTCCCAGTGTTTACAAGGCAGGGCTCTATTTGCAAGTTCTACATCTGTTCGCCTCACGTGACATTTTCATAAAAGCTCTAACATCTGGTCAAAATAAACCTCCTTCAGGTACCTGCTTAACTTTTCACATGTCAAAATCCCTTCCCCTCTGAAGCCCTCCTTTCCTTCACGGCTGCAGTCGCGTGTATTGCTCCTTTCTTGACTGCTTGTTTAATGACTCTGCCTCTGCCCGAAAAGAACAAAGCAACCCTAATCATGAGGGGGCGACCCCGACCCGTCCCAAGAGCATCCTTCCTCATCTCGCCCCCTCCCACCTCCGAATTTCCCCGCATTACGAGGGCAGAGCGGGTCTTCTTCCCGCCGCAATATTTCGCTTTGGGATTTCTGCAGCCCAGCAAAGAGGATTTGCGTCCCACTCCCTCCCCTCCGCCCAAGCGAACCCATAGTCCTGCTCGGGCTAATATTTCGCAAGAATGCTGATAATACTCCCAAAGTGAAGTGATCATCATCTAATTGTCCCAAACCTATTTCGTTATTATTTCTGCTGCTATTAATTGCTCCCGATACCTTTGCAGTCGTCTTTATCCTGGCGTGGTTCCTCTGAATTATTTTGGAGTAAAGCACTTCTTTTCTTGCCCGTGTCCATACAGTGCAGAAGAGAATTTTTGTAAAGTTTCTGCAAATTTAACGTTACCTCTTTACGAAAAGAGTGAGGAAGTGTTCGCTAAACAAGACAAGACGACTGCGTAGATAACAACAACGCAAGTGCTCCCGAGCGGGCGGAGGAGACAGAGAATTACTAAGAGAAAGGACAGCTTTTTCGCCGATCTGAATATTTAGTTTTGCTTTGCGTTTTATTTCGGATTTTAAAACGGGTGCTACCATCATCGTTAGGTTTCCGCTGCTTTATTGTTCTTGCTCTGTAAAACCGTTCTAAGCCTCCCGCAATGTCGATCACTTGGTCCTTATAAATGGCCGGCTTGTTTGCTTTCAAGAAAGAAAAGCGGGACTTTTCTACAAGTGATTTTAACCTGCTCCACCTTCAAGTGACCTGCCAAATGCTCCTTCTTACTTTATAGACATCTGGGAATTCCATACATGCCTTAAACTCCAGTTACACACCTTCTTCAAAGGACACGTGCTTTGATTTGCCAAGAACATTAAGTGGACTGAAGTCGAAAGAAGCTGGTGCAGAAGTTAATGTAAAATACATCCTGTGCCATGTTTACTGCGGGCAGGTTATGCCTGCAGCAAATAAAATAAGTCCTGATGGGATGTGGATGTGTGTGCCTCTTTTTTTTTTCTCTTTTGCTTTAGCCTCCCGGATCCCTTTACGGGGTGGATTGGATTTGCCGTCAGCACCGCCACCACCCGCTTCCCAAAGATGCTAATTTACGGCGGGAGCGCTCCCGCTCTGCCGGCGGGTCCGCTGCCTCTCGGAGCGGGCAGATGAAGGGGGAGCCGTGTGAACCGGGCCGGTGCAGCCGCCGAGAGGAACCGGGGGAGCAGCGGCGCCGGAGCTGAGCCCGTTCCGGCAGTGGCCGGGCCCGCGGGAGGCAGGTGCCCGAGCTGCCGCCGCCGCCGCAGGTGAGTCCCTCTCCCCCTGCGCTTTTCCGTGACTTTTGCGCCCCCGCCCTCTCCCTCCGTTTCCCCCCACATCCCCACGGCGGGTTTGTTTGTTTTTCTTAAAATTACAGATGCAGGGAAAACCGCCTGACATCATGGGAGCGGGACAAGAGCGCACTTTGAAGGGCTCCTGGGCAGGACTTCAAGTGAAATCATACTCCGGCGAGGAATCCGATACGGGCTCGGAGAAAGCAGCGGGGCGGCCCCTGCCAAGCCCAGGAATGTGCGGAGCCCCCCGCCCCGCAGGAGCGCAGCGCCGGCACCGCCGCGGCCGCGGTGCCACCGCACCTCTCCTCAGCCTGAGAATAAACGGGACAGATCGATGCCTCTGAGAAAACAGCGAAATCAATCAGGGTTTCTAAAGGCAGAGTTAATTTTCCGATTGCAAGGGTGTTTAAAATTCCCAGAAGGCAAATTAATATACATATTATTTCTTTTTTCCTTCAGTAAGCCTGACGCTGACTTAATCGTTTTTGGCTCTAGCTCGGGGAGCACCAGGCATCTGCAGTCCTCAATTTCAACCCAGGAAAGGGTACGCCCTGAGTTTTAAAACAGGTTTATCTATTTTTTATGATTTATTTTTTTTAATGAGGCAGAGGTAGAGGCTGTCAGCCGGGAAAGAGCAGCGGCTGAGTGCCTGCTGCCCAGGAATGCTGCCGCGCCGGCAGGGACCCGCTCAGAGGGACACAGAAGTGAGAAAGGAAGAACTGTCGGTGGCAGGAGCCCCACAGATAGGAATTGGGGATTTTTCTCACTCGGGTGTTCAGCTTGCTGGAAAGGGGTAGACCGGCTGGCCCAGAGGCCTCTTGCCGGCTGCAAAAGAGCCAGTCAGGTTTCAGTCCATCAAGCGGGGCCTCTCCCGATTTCTGAGGCCGAGCACAGTTTGATTCGTGGCTTTTAGAGTGCACTTGATTCCTCGCTCATATTTCTCAGGAATCCCCTTCCACGAAACACGCCTTCTCTTCAGCACCGAGCTGCTCGTCTGGTTGGTTGGTTTTTTTTTTCATTCCCGGAACCTGTTTTCTTCCTAAATGTGAGGAGTTTTCCCCACCTTTCCCCGGTGTGATTTCTCCCCCAAAAGGAACAACCGAGACCTTCTATAAGCTCCCAAATCCCCCTAGGGCCACTGCCAAAGCTGCGCCGGCTCCCCGTGCCTCTCGCCTTCGCTGCAGCCAGGGTAACGCGGGCAGACTTTACCTCTTCCTCGGCAGCATCGGAGCCGGGCGTTCGGGGTCTCTGAGAGGGCAGCAGCGGGTGCCAGGGTGCCGGGGAAAGGCAGCGACCCCTCGGGAGCTCGCAGGGGCTTCCCCTCCTCTCCATCACTGAGAGATGCGACCAGCGGGGCCGTCATCTAATTTTCAAGTGCTCGCTAATCCTTCAGTGCAAACAAGCGCTGCGAACTCTCCGCTGTAAACACCGCGCACCGGTTTAAAATTAGCCCGATATTATATTCACAACAGTGCTGTATGGGTAACAGACGGCAATATATGCATGTGGAAACAAATACAGGAAATAAAGTCAGCTCATGGGCTATGCGAACAGGCTCTGTCTTGGAAAAGCACCCTATCCCATTTACCCCAGGCACGGGGCAGCAGAGTCCCCGTCCCCACGGAGGGCCCAGCTCAGCGCCCAGGGCCGCAGCGCTCCCCGCGCACCTTTCGCGGCCGCGGAGGGGCAGGAGGCGCCGCTCCCGCTCCTGCCAAGCGCTGGGAGATGAGCGAGTGACAGCAGAGACAATCAGCTGTCCGGTTATAGGGGCTGGGGTTTGGATTGTCTTATCATGTTTTCTGGGGTTCTTTTTACGACTTCCCTTTCCCCTTCCTCCCAAGCCCTCAGATCTGGAGGTTCCCTCTCTTTTGCAGCTCGGGTTCTGGCCGCATGCTGGGACCCCGCGGAAAGTGTGGTGAAAAGAAAGAGGGGCAATGTGCGCCCTGCACGTAGAGAAGGAGAAAAGTGGGGTTAGAGCATCCCTCCGTGCTTTGCTCAACGAAAATATGATCGCTAGTATATATATTATATAAAACCCTAGAGAGCAGAGCAGTCAAACATCACTTCCACCGGAAAGCCCCACTCGCTAGACACTTCCCTATTTCAATCTCACTTTCTTTTGCTTTCCCTTTGAATGGACGAGTCCCTGTTTAACACCCATGCCGCTTCCTCAGCGATATCAGCAAAAGTACCTGCGCCGGGGGCTGGGGAACGGGCCCCGCTCCTGCCTCGCATCTGGGGGCAAAGCACCAAGGCGGGGACAGAGCTCGGCTGCGAAAACTGCGCTCCCCGCGCAACTCCGCCGTGCCTGGCGAGAAGATTAAAGGGCGAGAGAAAGAGAGAAGAGACAACACCTTCCTCTGCAGATGCAGTGAGCTTCAGCACAGAATAATAAAGCTGTCTCAATAAATAACGTGCCTGTGTCTGTCAGTAGCTAGTTTATTTGCGTTTTTCGCCTGGTTTGTTTATACTAGTGCCCCCTCTCTCTTGGGTGTCTTTACAGCTCAACAAGCAGGTATTTATCTACAGCTCTAACCCTGAGCTCTCAGAGAGACCAAACTTTAAGGTTATTAAAATTTCAATCATATTTATTTATTGCAGAAAAATAATATACAATGATATTTACAAAACAATCATAAAAATAGGAATGCATTTAGACACCGGATCTATTTGCATTTTAACATGGGTCATCAATAAATAAATAAAATGTTTATTTTTTTTTCTCAGAGGAAAAATATTAATAATAAAAAAGTTAGGAACCGGGTATATAACAGTTTGAGCCCAGCTTATTCCCCCCTAAAAAAATTAAAAAAAAATAAAAAAGGTTTTCATCTCTACAGGGATATTTTTGGTTGGCTGCTTGGTTTCATTCAAGAATGAAGAAAGTCCACAATAATGTATTTCCTTTCATCAGTGGCTCATGAGCACGACCTCTTGGGAATGCATGCATGCAAAAAAAAAAAAAAAGGGCAAACAAAAAAAAGTTCGATTCCAACATTCTTCGTCAAAATTAAAAAAAAATAAAAATCGAACGATTCAGACTTCTATCAGAATGCAGAGATGTGTGGATTGTACCGACGCCCAGAGGGTAGTCACTGTCCAAAGCCCTTCTCTCTTTCTCTTTCCTTAAGTGCTCCCCACGCCCTGCTTTGAATTTGGATTTTACTCTTCCAATTTCCAAGAAATCCTTGGCACATTTTTTGTTAGAAAAGATTAAAAAAAAAAAAATCGTATCCAACTTCAGAGTCTCTAGATTGTCCATTCTCTCCTTCTGTGGGAACAATGTCATCTGCAAAAACCCAGAAAGGGCGGAAAACTCGTTACTGAAACGAAAGTTACACAGACATCTACCTACACCTCTCTGTCTCTGGAAATCGCGCATCGGGCAGGAATGGAGCAGGGCGAGCTCGCCGTGCGGGCGGCGCGGTGACCGTGTGACACTCCAGCCTGGCGGTGCCTGGTGTCAGGGCCGAGGGAAGGGACAGGGCGGTAGGAAACCCTCATCGGGCAGCGCAACGGGAGGACGAGGATTCACTTCAAAATACGAGCAGCAGCAGCAGCGGCGGCGGCAGCAGGAGCCATCCCAGCAGCCCCGCTGGCTCCGCAGCGTTTGGTGGAAAAGCGATCTCAGGCCGGCCCCATCTGGCTGGGGCACACCCGCCGCGTCCCGCCCGCAGCCCGGCCACGCGTGGGCCCGGGGGCTCGGGCCGCGCAGGAGGAGGGACGGCCGCGCCGGGGGAGGCCCCTCCGGCCGCCCCGCTCGGGCAGCCAGGCCCTGCGGCGGCTGCGGGCCCTCTGCCCCACGGCCACGCGTGCCCGGCTCACGGCGCGGCCTCTGGCCTCCCTCCCCCCTTCCTCCCGCCGCTTTCGGGGTCCCTGCCTTACCTAGGGCTCCTGCCGAGGGGATGCGGGTGGGGGACGCCGCCTGCTAGTGGGATGCGGACATGGACCAGGCGCCCTCCATTCTCCACACCGAGAAGGCGTAGCTGAGCCGCTCGTGGGCCACATAGCTGCAGCTTGCCATCTTGGAGTCCAGCTCGTCGCTCTGTAAGACCTGGTAGAGGAAGTCGATGTACCTGGCCGCCAGCTTGAGGGTCTGGATCTTGCTCAGCTTGTCCGAGGGCAGCGTGGGGATGATCTTCCGCAGGGCGGCGAAGGCTTCGTTCAGCGACTGCGTGCGCTGCCGCTCCCGCACGTTGGCCATGACCCGCTGGGTCTGCAGCTCCTCGTAGGACTGGGGGCTGCCGCCGCCGCTGCTGCTGCCGCCGCCGCCGCCGCCCCCGCCCGCCCCGCACTTCTTGCCCCGCTTGCCTTGGGCCGGGCTGCACGGCTCGTCCGCGGCCCCGACGGCGCCGCCGGCGCTGCGGCGGCTGGAGCGGCGCTTGCGCCCCCCTCTCTTGTTGTTGGGCAGCTGCTGCCGGTCCGGCTCCTCTTCGCTGTTGCTCAAGCTGTCGTCGGCGGGGGAGACTGGAGAGTTTGACTCGTCCTGCTGCATCATCTCTGGGGGGAGACGCGAGAAGCGGGCCGGGAGGGGGGGGAGGGCAGGGAGAAGAGGGGGGCACCTAACCCGCCAGCTCCCCCTTGATCGGCTGCTTCGCTGGCCTGCGAGGAGAAGGAGGAGGGAAGGAAGGAGGGAGGACCTCACTTTGGGGGGAGGGGGGATGGCATCAGGATCCAAGAGCAAAAAAATAAAAAGGCCAACCAAAAAAAAAATCCCTCCCGATCCCTCCTTGGAGCCCCTTCGAGGTGTCTGGGATTGGGAGAAAGTTGAAGACTTGGAGGTTCTTATAGCTCCTGCTGGCGGAAAGTTTGGGGGCAGCAGTGTCATTGGCCTGACGTGGAGAGGAGGGACTTTTGCTGAGTTTTATAGGAAAGTTTCCGCTTCCCCCCCTCCACGCCCTCCCCCAATTATTTTTTCAAGCCATTCACAAGTGATCTGCCTTCCCCACACGCACGCACATACATCCTTACCCCAAGCTCTTTCTCCGTTTCCCTCTCAGCGGTTTCTCTCTCAGACTCCTCCGGTTAGCGCTCGGCTTTGGGGTGGTGCTGAGGGCCGGGCCGGGAGGTTTTGGGGGTGCCCAGCCCCCGAGCGCTGCTGCGGAGGGCTCAGCGAGCCCCTCAGTGCCCGTGCTGGGGACAACAGCCCCGAGCGGCCGGGGAGAGCCCGCACCCCTCGGGCTTTCCTCTCTGCAGCGGGCACGGCTGTAGAGAAAAGAAGGAAATGGGAATTACCCGCGGGGCAGCATCCAGGCGCATCCTAATTTTGACCCGCTTTAGCACACGCCGCGTTTCCCCATCACTGAGCACCCCGGGTCTGCCTTGCCGAGGGAGTCGCGCATTTCTGGGCTGGGGAGGGGTGGTGGCGCAGCCTCGTCCTGCCAGGCTGGGGGACTGCGCTCGGAGAAAGCCATCCTCAGGGGTGGAAGCAGCCGGGAAACCAAGCATTGGCTTCGTACATGCATAAGCACCAGTCCTTGAGCTCGTCTTAAGAGAAACTCGGGAGGATCCGCGTCTCCAGCTTGGCACACCGGGAGACGGGAGGGGGTACAGACTCTTTTGGCCCGCACTCTCAGTGTGCTGACCATTCACTTCAGTCCATCCTCCCACGAGGCGCCCGAATCCGGCACTTCCTGGGAAAAAAGATTATTTATTTTAATTTCTCTTCTATGTCTGCAGCCAAAGCTATTTCTTCCCATCCCCCGCCTTTGTGCCTCCTTCCCCGCTCGCTGGCAGCACAGAGCAGGTGGTGTGTCTTTTTAACAACAGCTCAGATTCAAACGGGGAACGCCTGGGAGGGAAAGCTAGAAATTGCCGTCCGTCAGCGAAGGGGGTGAAGCTCTCTCTGCTCCCGGCGTGGGGACCGCGCTCCTCCTTTGCCGGCCTGGCAGCGGCCGCCGGCCCGGGCACGGCCGGGAGCGGAGCGGGCAGCGCAGAGCGGCAGAGCCTCCCGGCTTGTCTGAGGTGTGAGGGCGGACAGGGCGAGCGGAATGGCAGAGGAGCGATAAATCCCGGGCATGAAATAAAGCAAGGCTTCTGGAAGAGCGCTGGCATCTTCTCCGGGGAACAGACTCGTCTCTCTCCCCTGCCTGGGGACTGACTCCCTTTCCTCCCGCAGAGGCGGCCCATCCCGGGAGATGCCAGGGCCCTGCTCGCCGCCCCGAGGGGCAGCGCCTGCCCCGGCCCCGCCGCAGCGTCCCCGGAGCTGTCCCAGCACCGCTCCCTTCGCTGCCCCTCTCGGCGAGCTCTCCTTCTTGGGTCTCCATCCCGGGGAGCGAGCAAATAGCCGCCTGCCCAAAACCTTCCCTTTTGGGAAACAGCTGGAAAAAGGACCGGGGAGGCAACAGGGACCGCCTCAGCCGGCAAGGGAAGGCACACATGCCGCGAACAGACCCGCAGCGAGCCTGCACAGCTTTCCCGGCTTTTGGCTTGTCCCTGCTGTGTCTTCTGCGATCACAGGCCTCTTCACTCTGCTTAACACTGAGAGCTTCAGGGGGTCTCTTGCACTGGCAACAGCTGCTGATCCCAAGGTAAGAAGAGCCGGCTCTCCTTTCACCTCCCTTTCACCAACAATTTTGTCTGTACCCCCAACCTCCTCTGGGGTGTTGAGCAGTGTCATTACAGAAGAAATGTTGGAAAAAGTAGTAATGAGCATCTGTAGGTGGCTCCAGGGGCCTGCCTTCCTTCCTTCCTTCCTTCCTTCCTTCCTTCCTTCCTTCCTTCCGTCCGTCCATCCATCCATCCATCCATCCATCCATCCATCATTTTTCTTATGGGAAAAAGAAATATCACAGGACAAAACCAAACCTGGATAGTTATTACCTTGCTGGGAATGGGATGCTGCCTGCAAGGAGGGAGGGGCAGCATCTCCTGAGCTGATTTGGCAGGATGCATGACTTGTCTGGGTAACCTGAACTTTGAATGGGATGCAGGACATCACCTGCTTGTCATGGGGCAGGAGGAGGGTGTGTAGAGCAGGGTGTATGAAGGAGTCAAGGATACATGGGGAAGTAGTAGTATTACATGGTTTGTAAAAATAGGAAACGTGGAGAAATGTAGGGATGGAGTTGAGGAGAGAGGAGTAGCTGACCATAGTAGATGGCTGGGCTTAGTGTCAGCTGCTCTTTGTGCAAACTGCAGCAAAAACAACAAGCAGTTTTTAACAGGACCTGTGACCTGCACACTGCTGTATGAATGAGGACTGCACAACCCTCCCCCCTTCCTCCCACCATCATCTTCATTTTGGTTTTTGTTTTATTTCTGACTCCCAAATTATGGGCTCAGGAGCAAAGACATATAAGCCCATGATGTTACTGTCAAGACCCCCACAGGAGTGCAGGGGCCAGATGAGCTGTGGTGGCAACAACCTGTCCCAGAGGACTTGGGCTGGGCTGGGCTGGTTGTGGGAGCCTGCCTGGATCCCCCAGGCCTGTTGGCAGGCAGCAACTCTGCCTAGTGCTGGAGTGTGTGGAGCTGTGTTGGGAAGAGGGTGGATGTGTGAGAAAGTCATGTCTGGGGGTCTGTGAGAGAGAGAAAGACATACTGGTGTGTTTATAGGTGAGGATGTGTTTGTGTGTGCATGAGTGTACTGTTGATCTTTTCAGTGTGAACACATATATATATATATGTCAGGAGGGAAAGGAAGTGAAGTCTGTGCAGAGATTAAAGAAAATCAAATTCTGGTTTATTTTGAAATCTACAGTTTTGATGGGGATTGAGGTGCAGCCTTTGCATTTCACATTAAATAACAATTTTATTTTATTTATGCAGTGTTAAACCATCTGTTTTGAACCTCCACTAAGCCACTAAGGTACTTCTGCAGACCACTTTGGAGCATGGGATGTCATGTCCTGTTTTTCTCTGTGCATAGGCATGGCTTAGGTAAGAGCTCTCCTGGCTCCTTGGGCAGAATTTCAACTGTTTCACTCTTTGGTGGTGGCAAGAAAAACCACAAACAAATCCATGGCCTTTCTAGAGATTCTTCCAGGCCCATTCCTGCAAGCTTCCCTGGGCCTCAGCTCAGAAAAATATGTGTTGTAGCATGAACTCTTACATGGAACACTGGCAGGACCCAGAGCTCTTCAGCATTTTGTCACCTCTGCAGAAAGGTACAACGCTGGTAAAGCAGCCATCTAGATTACAGGTATGGCTGTGAACAGAGAAAATAATGGCAAACTCCTGGTAGGAAGAAATGAGGAGTAAGTTGGTCTGTGATGATCACTGTAGTCATGGTTGATCACAGGGCAATAGCTGTAAAGGATGGCCCCACCTTGTTGCCAGCCCTTCTGTGGGCACCCATTCACTTTTGAGACACTCACAGGATGGGATGAGCTGTATTTGCCTTATCCAGGCCAAAATGTCACAGCTTTTGAGGGGAGTAGGTCAAAAGGTGGATTCTTTCCTTGATCTCTAAGAATGAATGAATATAAGGCCCAATTTTATCTGCCTTTTTATAAATCAGTGCAGAAGTTTAAGAACTAATGTGCTCAAGACCCGGTGGTTGCAACTACAATGTTGTCCCTCATCAATGTGTTAAACAGATTGTGCATACACACAAATTACAGTTGGATTGCAATAAGGCTGTTCTGTATTCCCCATACAGCAAGCACATACACATGTAATTTGGGTCACAAAGGCTGTTTACTGTGGTAAAACTCTCACTGCTGCTGATTCCTTGGAATATTGAGCAATGTCTTACATCCATGCATGCCTAGAGACAGCCTGCCTGCGTGGTTTTGATGCCGACGCCTTCAATCGGGTGTTTTCTCAGAGGTTTTACTTTATGTTGCAAAGACCACTGAAATTAATTGAAGTTTCCCTACTAGTTTCCACAGCCAGGTATTTTAATTTGTATGGATTCTAGGTGAAACCCTGGTCAGGACCATACCCCTTCAAGAGGGATGAGAGAGCACCTAGCAACTTTGCCCACTGGCGTTTATGCTGTAATTTGCTCCGTGTAGGAAGCACACCGGGAAACAGGCTGACAACCCTCACTGTGCCTGGTACAAGTTTCTGCTCAGCAACAGCAAACAGGCAGAATCCATATATAAAGGTATGAGAGCAGGACCCGTTTCTCATCTTCTTTCACCTCTTTCTTCCTTCCTATCACCGCGGCAGCTCATACAACCAAGGAAAAGCTGACAAGCATCTCCCGTCATTGGTCCAGCGTGGGCGGGCGCGGCTCGGCTCGGCTCGGCTCGGCCCGGCCCGGCTCGGCCCGGCCCGGCTCGGCTCGGCTCGGCCCGGCTCGGCCGGCGGGGCTGGGGCGGCGGGGCCGTGCCGGGCCGTGCCGTGCCGTGCCGGGCTGTGCGGCCGGCGGCCACCGGAGGGCACGATTCCCCGCCGGCCCCGCCGCGCTCCGGGCGAGCCGCTGCGCCCGGGCCGGAGCGAGCCCCGTCCGGCTGGGGCACCCGAGCTTCGGGGCCGTGCGGGGCTGCCCGCCCGCTCCCGGCTCTGCTCGCTGCGTTTCAGCCATTCCCGAGTGGTTTTTCTCGCTGA